AGTACAGATTGAATCCAATAATGGCAGTGAGCAAAAACTGTATCTCAGATGGAGTGCTATTCTGTCTCGACACTTTCTCTACCAAATAAAATAGTCCAATACTTTTGAAACTGGCCATAAGTTCTCAGTGCAAAGGCAAAACATAGCTAGTTCTTTTCCAGCATGTGAAATGCATGGCCTCTAGCCAAGGCCCTCACATGTCCTCGGTCCTCTCTGAAACCTCATGAGGTTTACCTTCCCTGGTCATGTTTCTCTTGGTGTTGTGATCTTTCATACTCTCACCAGAATGGCCACTGAACTCTGCACATAGCAATCTGTGGCTTTTCTGGTTCAAAGTTTCAAACTTTTCTACGTTCTCCTCCAAATCTGTCCTCAAACCCAAGAACCACACTGTCAGCCTTACTACAGCCAAAGCCAAATTTTTTGGTGTCAATTTTTTGTAGTTGTTTCTTTCCTTGTTGCTAACATCAAAATGTCACACAAGGAGCAAATTAAGGAAGGGGAGGTTCATTTGGGCTTCGAGTTTGAGAGGACACAGCCAGTTATGGTAGTGAGGTCGTGGCAGCAGGAGGCTCAGGTGACTGGGCACACTGTGTGTGTGTGCAGTCAGGAAACGGTGTGGAGAGTGGGTTGGGATATCTCCAGGGCCACACCTAATAACACAATTCCTCCAGCAAGACTCCACCTCTTGGAGGTTCTACAACCTTCCAAAACAGCCTCACTGGCTGGGGGCCAAGTGCTCAAACATATGAGCCTGGGGTGAACATTTTACAGTTAAACCAAAGCAAGCAATATTGAACTTTTTAAATAGTGGGGAACTATTTGGATGAGGGGACAATAAGTGTAAGGTCAAAGGGACAAGAGAGGCTAATGAGGTAATGTATATGAGCAATGTACTGTGATACACATCAATCCCTTTACCTAGAGGTCTTTGTGTGTGTGCATGTGTGATATGTGGTAATTTTTCATGTGCTTGTCTTGACATTACCACTAAGTATATATCTAAGTATCTCATGGTTTTTAATGCTATTTCATCAAGCCTTTTGTCAGAGGATACAACCTAAATAAAGAGTTAAAATATATCTACTAGTGAACAACCAGAAATGAGTTTTCAAATACTAGGACTTTGAGTAAGATACACAACAGATCCAAGTAAGGGCATCCTTGCCTGATCTCCAATCTTTCTCCTTTAAACTTTGTGTTAAGAAAGTTGTCTTAATTCTTCTTGGAGAAAAATCTCTATCCAGAACACTTTTAATGGTGTAAAATATAGTTGGACCTATCAAGCCAGCCATAAAGCTTTCTTCTTTTGGGTTAATAAGATGTGTTCCTAGAATAGACACCAGTAGTCAAGACGCAGCACCACAGGGGGCGGGAGGTGGTTCAGTTAGTAAAGTGTTTGCCATAAAAGCTAAGGACCTAAGTTCAATTCCCATCTCCTATGTTAAAACAAACAAATGAAGCAACAATACAAACCCCAATCAAACAGACAGACAGACAGGCAGACAAATCCAGAGCTGGGTGCAGCAGCGTGCACTCTAATTCTATCACTCAGGACGCAAGGACAGGAGGATTCTTGGAGCTCTCTGGCCGGTTAGTAGAGCCAAATTTGAGAGGTCTAGATTCAGTGGAGACTTTGTCTCCAAAGAGTGTGAAGGAAAGTAACTGAGGAAGACACCAAATTTCCACATCTGGCCGCCACACGCATGCCCAGGTAAGTGCCTGTGTGCTCACACATAAATACATAAACAAACTAAAATAAAAAACACAGTATCTCTATTTTTGCTGGATCCCATTGTTAGCTATTTTTATATCTTATTTCATAAAAGATAATGGCACATAATTTTTGTTTGGTTTTAGATTTATAGTAATGTGGATATTATAAAATGAGTAAAGACAAATCTTTTCATATGAGAATTTCAGTAGAACTGGCATTATATTTCCCTTACATATTAGCTATAATCCATCTATAAAGGCAAATTAACTTGGAGACTTTTTGTTTTGTGGAGGACTGGTAGGAGCAGTAAGGCCAACTGTGTTACCTCAATATTTCTTATAGTAACTGATTTTCAAGCCTGCTATTAAATTCAGCTTGGGATACTGAGAGCTGTGCATGCTGCATTTTCAGAATGGAAACAGTCCACTTTGGTTAGCCCTCCCCCTTTAATAATGCAGCATGTGTATAAACTTTATGTCCCTACCATATGCGACTTTGTCTTCTGAGCTCATTTTCCCTGTGGCCAAGAGACCATTGTGGTCCAACAGAAAGTTCTCCTGTGACAATCGACTGGTTTCTCCTCAACCAAGCAGATGACTAGGTTCATCCTCTTTCTTTTTACCAGTGAGAGATTTGATTACAACACTAGGTAGGGGCTTTCAAAACTCACCGTTCCTAGAAAATCCACTGAATTTCGTGGTCAGTGAATGCTTTCCAACTTTTTCTTAGTCTCCCCCCCCCCCACCCCGCTGTTGACCTCCTGAAACTTGGAGCCTCTTTTACCCCATTGCTCTCTCTTTCCTTTTCCCCTTTTCCTTTTAAACAAGAACTGGAATATAGACTCTTTCAAGGTATGATCACCTAGTGTGTGAATGTACTTTAAAAATAGATGTTGTGGGACCACAGAGGCCTCTCTATGCTAAGATTGAGGTGACATGGGCATCTTTTCATACCTTTGCACTATGACCTCTTTTTGCCCTGTTCCTCATTCTTATTTGTAAATTCTTTTAAAAAAGAAAACTTCAAATAGAGCTGGAAACTGTGAACCCAATGCCATGGAGACGGAAGAATAAAAAGCATTGTTTGTTTAGCTAAAAAAGAACCAGAAAAAAATTAAGACTTGAAAAAGTTGTGAAAGTTCATCATAATCCTTATGTAAGAATCAATCTACCAACTGGAAAACCTTTAATTTGAAATATTTATTTTAGTTTTAGTTTTGGTTGTGAGCCTAGCCTTTAATCCTGAGCCATCTCTCTAGCCCTTAGCTTTTATTTATGTGTGTGAGTGTGTGTCTGTGTGTGTGCATGTCATATGTGTGTGTGTGGGTAGACATGGAGTCAAAAGAGGGCACTGCCCCTATAAGATAGAGTTACAGACGGTTGTGAATCCCCCAACAAGGTGCTGGAAACTGGACTCTAGTCCTCTGAAAGAACAAGAAGCTCACTTAGCTTCTGAGTCACCTCTCCAGCTCCAAAATCCTTAACTTAATATATATTTTCAATCATCATCACCAGTCAAGTTATAAATAAATTTATTTTTGAAATATACTATTTTCTGATTTTGTTTAATTTCAAGTGTACAATAATAATGATCTCATTTAGTTTTTATTCTAAAAGTATTTTTAAACATTTTATTGAATCTTTGTGAATTTCATAGCACGCACCCCAATCCCACTCATCTCCCAGTCCCTCCATATCTGCCTTCCAGCCTTGCAACCCCCTCCCCAAAAGAAAACAAAAAAAATTATAAAATAGTTAAATCTTAAAAAACAAAAGAACAAAACCAACAAAAAACCCAAACAACAACAACAACAATCTCACTGTGGAAGCTGAGGTATGTCATGGTGTGCCACCCAATCTACCCTTTTGCCCAAACAGTTTTATTTGCAAATGTTTATTGCAATGAATCATTGGTCTGGTTCCAGGCCTCTGGCTTCTGCTACACCCTCAATACTGGATCCTCCCTGGGACTCCTTTTGGATAACCTGTTGTTGTCCTGTGTCATGGAGATCCTGTAGCTTTGGTTCTGCAGGACCAGCCTCTTCACATACTCCAGCAGTTCTTAGATGGGGTAGATGTTGGGGTGGGCCAACGAAAAGCCCGGGATCTGGGCCTGGGTGGTAGCTGATTTGGTCAGGCCACCAGCACCTGTACCACTAGGACCAGCTCTTCTGCTTTGCCCAGGTGAGTGGCAGGGCCAGCTCTCCTGCCTGTGGTAACTGGCAAAGAGCTCTCCTGAACTCATGCCACCAGGGCCAACTCTAGCGTGCTGCCCAGGCGAGGTATGGCCCTGCTCTCCATGTGCTGCAGCCAGCAGAGGGCTGGCCCAGCTCTCCTGCTCTCAGGGCAAGCTCTCCAGCCTGCCTTAGGCAGCGAAGCGAAGCGGGAGGAGGCATCTCTCCTGCATCCATGCATGGACAACAAGGGGCGGGGCCAGCTATCCAGAGCTCACACCCTAGGGCTGGCTCACCTGCACCCATGCCACAAGGGTCCCCTCTACTGTGCTGCTCAGGCAAAGTATGGGATGCTCTCACTAATGCCGTAGCTGGTGAGAAGCAGGTCCAGCTCTTATGCCCTCCAGGCCAGCTCACCCAAGCCCTAGCAGCAGTAAGTGAGGAGGGGCCACACAAAGCAGTAGTCCAGGCCAGGGACATCCCCATGGCCTTTGGTGGTAACATGGGCCATGGATGTGACCCAGACCTCTGCTGCTGCTGCTGCTGCTGCTGCTGCTGCTGCTGCTGCTGCTGCTGCTGCTGGCCATGGACTCAGTCATGGCTCTCTGCAACAGCTCAGGCTAGGACATCTCCATAACCTCTGGTGGCAGTGATGACTACTCACATCAGGCTCTTCCTCACCACTCTTAGCATCTCCAGTTCTGCCTCTCTTCATAGTGCACAAGCCTTTGGACTTATCTCTATCACCTCTTCACCATGTACTTGCTCACTATAGTGGTACCTTCCCCCACCTACACTGTGTGCTGGGGGTGGGGGGTGGGAGGTGGGTGGGGGTGGTTCTCCAGTGTCTTTCACACCTGGCTTGTATCAAATGGCAGTAGGTGGGGGCATCTCACGTCCCTCTACTCACTCAGGTGTTCTCCACCAGCCCAGGCCCAGCAGCACTGGTGAGGCGGTGGGGAGGGAAGCCTCCTAAAGTGTTTATTAATGTTTCGTAGTGGGAAAATATATTAATCTAATGTATTTATTTTAAAACACATACTTACATTGGTCTGTGTTTGTATCAGTTACATATATTTAAATTCTTTCTTTATTATTATTGGGGTCGTGTGTCTACCACGGCATGTGTGTGGAGGTCTGAGGACATCTTTGTGGAGTTGGTTGTCCTCCCACAGCATGGGTTCCCAGGACTGAACTCAGATCATCAGATTTTCGAGGCGAGCACCTTGATCGGCTGAGTCATCTTCTGAACCTAAAATATTTGTACAAATAACATCTGTGCATATTTGATTACATGATGATGTTTTGATTAATTTCCATTGCTTATTGGTCAGCCAGGGCAATTAGCATATCTATCTCCATACCCTGTTGTCATTTCTGAATTGGTGATTACATTCAACTTATTTTTTTAAATCTCTTCAGATGTATAATGTTGTACTGTTACTCACCTACCTCTGCCATGGAATACCAGAACTTCTGCTCCTCTCAAATCATGAGAGGGCACCCATTGCTCAGTCTCTCACCTCTTCTCTATACCGACAGTCTTAGATAGTAACCTATAGTTTCTTTCTTTGATTAGGAACTAAATATGCACTGGGGGCTGACCTAGGATATTGGCTTCCTAGTAGCCATTTTTTTCTATAAGAAATTGTACCCCAAACAGTAATCTCTCTTCATTCAAATTCAGATTAGATTTTCTCCTTTTATGTTCTGGAAATTGAACTCAGGATCTTACAAGCAGTCCACCACTGGACAATATCCCCAGAAACTCCTCGCATTTTGATTTTCTTCCAGTCCCCCTGTGAAGTTAATCATTTAAACATTTTTATATTCTTTGGCTTACCTCTCCTCTTGACAGTAAGTAAACACTGCCTACTATGTTTAAGAATTTCTCATTTCCCCAGTACTAAGTCTTCTAGTTCTGTTATTACTGTCAGTCATCCATTCGGGTTTCTAAGCTTCCCTTTCCATCTCTTGGGGATGCCCTCTTGATTTCCTTTCGCCAAGTATGCATTCACCTCTTTTCGGATCTATCATGCTATACTTATTTGGTATAAGTCAATTATTCTTATTTGATCAGTGTTTTTACTCTCACAAACTTAACCCTCTAGATGCCCTTCTCTTGGCTTTTTTTGGTGTCTCCATCTATTTCCACCTAACTATGAAATATAATTCCTTTTGGCTTTCTTTGGCTCTTTGCTTTGACTAATGGGATTGTTCAATGTCAACCAAGACTTTCATTTACCTAAGCATTAGCTAAAGCCATTCAGTGTTGGACTTGGAAGCAGCTATTATCAGCTCTAGGGATTTTTAGATGTTCAATGTCCTTGGTGATTTGGACACAATCAAATATTATGCTTCTTAAAAAATGTTCTAATTATCACCACATAATGGCTTATTTATAATGAAAATTTTGCACAGATCTATAAAAACTAGGAGGCATGCCGGGCGGTGGTGGCGCATGCCTTTAATCCCAGCACTCGGGAGGCAGAGGCAGGCGGATCGCTGTGAGTTCGAGGCCAGCCTGGGCT